GTGTCTGCGCGTGTGTGTGGGAGTGTAGTGTTGAGTGTCTGCGCGTGTGTGTGTGGAAGCCCATGCCGGTTGTTGCCGTCCTGAGTGTGTCTTGTGCCGTCGCCCGCAGTGGCCGCCAGGCATGGGCTCCAGAGTTTGGGAAAGGTTGCCGTCAGCAGGCGCATGCCCCCCCCGGCCAACCTGCCGAGCCTGAAAGCCGAGAACAAGGGGAACGACCCGAACGTCAACATCGTCCCCAAGGACGGCAGCGGCTGGGCCTCGAAGCAGGATCAGCCCGCCGACGAGCGGTAAGAGCTGGGCGCCGCTGCCCTGGGAAGGTCCCGCCATTGTCACGGGTGGGACCACGGGACGTGCAGGCTCTCTACACCTGTTTAAATATCCACACCTTGAGACTTACGCAATGGTATAATTCTACCAAAGTCCACACCTGAAGAGCGCTCCAAAGTGTTGCATTTTTTACCTTTTCTGGTTTTCAACCTGCGCTTAACAACTGCTTGTTCTTTTGCTCAGCTTTCTACTTTCCACCTACTGGTGTATGACCTACCGACATACCGTGATGGATGCATATGAAACTGTTTATATTGGAGGTGGTACGCTTCATTACAGTAGATACTGGAGCGTTAAGAAAAAACAACATTTTTCTTGAAATAAGAATAAATCTGGATGTATAAAACCTACCTGAATTCATAATCAGAATAGCAATTTAGAATGGCCGCTTCCCTATAAAGCTTTGTTTCAAACCTTTTTAACAGCAGTGAAGAAGGTCATTCTCCTTATTAATTACATCCCAGTATCCACTAGGTGTTGAAAGTTGTGAAAAATATTCCTCAGAAATGATCCCCATCTTTTTTGGCTGTAGATTATTTGATCTCGTCCATCTGTTCTGTGAAGGATCTAGTTTTAATCCGCATGCGAGTTGGTTGTTCATGCTGCCTTTTGTAATAAGTTGCATTGCTGTCAGTTACCAGGAAGTGCCAAAAAAGAACACTTCTTTGACAAGGCTGCTGCTGGCCAAGAGCGCCATCAGGTAGTAGTATTTTAAGAAAAGTGCTCAGGGAGAAATTAAAAATATTTTTGCAAGATCATGCCATTTAAAGTGCCAGGATTCTTCTGGCTGCTATAATGGAACCTTAAAGGTCATGCATTAAGGGGATTGTACTTTGACAGTCTTCCTAGGAGATATGTACAGATTTGAGATGGAAGTTGAGTGCACATTTAGAGTGCACACACCCAATCTTTTCTTCTGTTGCTACGGAGACATAGGACTCCTGCTGAGCACCCAGTCTGTTCTCTAAACACCCTGTTTTGTGCCATATCAGGAGGTGTTTTAGTAAAGTGTCATTTTATCATTGAAACATGCACCATGTCCTGAGTCCTTCCCTTACAGAGTGATTCGTGTCTTTGTCTCCTGCCAGTTTTTCCTCTCGGGTCTCAGTTGTCTTTGTTGTGTTTTGTGTATTCTGTTAAAACCTTGGGATTTAAAAAAAAAACAGGCCACTGTTATGATGTGTAGTTTTGCTTACGTTTGGTGTATTAAATTGTGCTGGGCTTTTTAAAGCTGTAAAAGAACACAGCTGGGTAATTTTAACTGATTTTTATCTCTACTGATTCTCATGCCCGATGTAAGCAGGGATCTTATGTGAAGATGTCAAAGTGGCTTAGTAATCCTTCTGAAATGTTGAGATGCCCTTTTGAAGTTATCTGCCGAGTGCTTCTTGTCATGTTTAGTGTAGTAACACCTGTGCCTGGAATACAGCCTGTTCCTGTCACCCATGCTGTATTCTGCCAGTGGGGTTCGAACCCCTGGCTGCTTTATACTAAACCCAGGGGGGCAGATCTGACCTGTTTCTGTTCAGGGGGTTAGGGGAAACTGGTAAACCTCGAGGAAACCTCAAATTCCACATAGAAGCTCTTCCAGCGCTGAATTGAACCCAGCATCTTGAAGGAACGGCAGCACGCCCTGCCACGCCCCCCTTCCGCCTGCCATGCTTGTAAAAGGAATCTAAAACACGGGATGCTAAAGCCGTTTCTGTTCGTTTCAGACAACAGGAGACCCCTCCACCTCCTCCACCTCCTCCTCCTCCCCCGCAGCCCAAACCAGGGGCTCCTCAACCCCAGGAGGGACCAGCAGGGGCCAGCCGGTCCTGGGCCAGTAACAGGCAGCCCAGCCAGGGAGACGGTAGGTCTGCTTCATTCCTAATCGTCTGATCGCCCCGGATCTGTGGGTACCCGACACAGGCCGGGATGAGACCAGATGGGTTGCTGGCGCCATGTGCCACAGCCATGGGCAGTTTGGGTTTCTTTCTTTGATTTACACGCTTATCGAGTGCTGACACAAGTCAAGAGAAGAGTCTTTGTATCAATTGAAAAATACTGCTGTGCACTAGCACATGTAGTGTTTGCTCTGCAGTTGGTTCCCTGTTTTTTTTTATCTTGCTTCCCTGTTTCATGCTGGGTTAATTCTAGAAATGTTTATTGCACTTTGTCCGGTAGTCATTGAATGAACTTCCCGCGAGACATTTTTTCCTTTTTTTACAAGGTAATGGAAAACTTACAAGGCGCTTTCTGTCCTTTGTTTAGAGAGAATCCTGTGGTGATGAGACTCAAGTTTGTTTGACTTTATAATTCATTATTTTCTTTCACTCCTTCTCATTCAGTTAATCTTTGTAAGTTTCTCTTGCGTACATGCACATGTTTTCCATCTGCCTCTGACTAATTTGCAGCCGACAGGAAGACAGCTAGAGCTTCAGATTGTTCTAAAGGTGGTTGGGGATGGGAGGGAGAGCCTGTGCTCAGGGGAGCTGTTGCTTTGTGTTGCAGGGACCCCCAGGGTGAACAGCCACTTCCAGCAGGAGTTCCCTAGTCTGCAGGCAGCTGGAGAACCTGAGAAACCCGCGGCCGAGAGGGACCAGGAGGAGGAGCCGTACGGACCTGGACCGAGCCTGAGACCGCAGAGTGAGTGGCGCCACAGTTAGTGGACTTGTGAGGTCCCTGCCCTCGACTAAGGAGCTCCCGAGTCTGGCTTCTCATGACGCGTGGTGTCCGTGTAGAAGCAGCATACCTGTTGAGCAAAACAGAAACAGAGGTCTGGTTGTGTTCTTCTAAAAGATAAGTAATGAAAACTACTTCATGTGAATAATACGAACTGAAGATCTTTGTCGTAATCCCCATATATGGGGGTTATATGAGATATTGAAAGCTGAAAAGGTGGTTTTTAGTATCTTTTTACACTTGAACAAAACTGATTTGTGCTTACAGGCTGATGGAAATGCTCAAAGGGACAGCATCATGCACTCCCACACAACTGTTTAGCTAAGATGTTGTGCAACAAAAGCTGCAGATGGAGTGTTCTAATGTTATTTTGCAATCAACAGGGGTTTCTGAGTATAGATCTCTTCAGATTCATTAACCTTTTAGTCCTGAGTGCCACTGTTTGTGCAATAGCTTTACATCCATCCATTTTCTAACTGATTCTTCCAATACAGGGTCTCGGGGAAGCTGGAGCCTATTTCAGCGAGCAATGGGCACGAGGCAGGGTATACCCTGGATGGGACACAAGTCCATCTTGGGGCAAGAGCACAGAAACGCACACACTCACACCTAGGGCTGATTTTCCCAGAAGCTATTTAACTTCAACTTGGACTGTTGGAGGAACCTGGAGCACCCAGAGGAAACCCATGTGAACATGGGGAACAAACATAGAAACACCACGCAGATAGCAACCCTGGTCTGGAGCTGAACCCAGGGCACCAGCGCTGTGAGACGGCAACGCTAAACACTTAACCGCCATCACCTGTAGCGCTACATGTGTTAAATTTCCTTAAAATGAAATATAGCTCAGATGCATCAAGGCAACTGTACAATCCTAAGTGTAGAGATAAAAAGCATGTTTTTCTCAGTAACCCAGCCAACCATAGTAAATTAACTAATCAATTCTAGTAATCACAATACCTTTAAGGGATGTGAACATTGTACCACTGAATCAGTCCCGAGCAGAGCAATTGGACACATTCCTAGGCTTAAAAATAAGTCCCCCTATGATGTGGTAAAAGAATGACTTCTTTAGAATATTACTAGGGAATCTGATTCAGCAGAGCAGCAGAGGCAAACCTGTACATTGAACCTCTGTGATGAGCTACGTGCTTCTTTTTTGCTATATTAATTTCTTGCATTAAGCACCAATATCCTGCTAATCTTGTAGCAAGTTACCAGTTTCCAAGTGTTGGTGTCTGAAAATACACCAGAAATTGTTCTTCAGTTTTAGTCTTCCAGTTGAACCTGCGTATTATAAAATAGGGACTGCATTGAAGAAACCATAACCATATTTTTGAGATCTTAAAATTTGTTTCCGTTCTGAGTGTATTCATTCTGATGTTTAAAACGGGTGACGCTGTGGTCGGGGACCGTACCCTTACTGCAGAATTGTCTTGTGATTTCCTGCAGATGTGGCCAGCTGGCGGGAGGGTGGTGGCAGGAATCTGAACACGGCACCCAGCTCCTCAGAGACGGACAGCAAGGCCGTAGAAGAGGGGGTGGGCGGCAGCACGCCCTCCCCCGTCCCGGAGCCCCCCGATCCAAGCAAGCCCCCCAGCGAGCCGCGGGACAAGCGGGAGGGCCGGGAGAGGCTGCCCCCCTCTGCCCCACCCCCCTCTGCCCAGCCCCCCTCGGCCCCCCAGCACAAGCTCAACGGTGGGCAGCAGCCTCAGGCTAGCGTGGCCCCCCAGTTCCATCCCCAGTTCAGGGGCCTGATGCCATCCTATGTGAGTACTGAGCTGGAGTAGGTTAGACCTGAACCTTCTGTATGGGCTGTAGTAGATAGAACAATCGATAATTATGATGCTCGTTATTTATCATAATTATCATGTTCTGGGGCTTTGGCCAGGCCAAAAGGTGAATCTGCGGACCTTGAGGAAAATGTGAATTTATTTAGATGCTACAAGATACAGTTCAGAAGATGCAAAGTATATCCGCCTTTTTTAGACCTGGATCCTTTAGCCGGTTCTGTCTTTCTCGCTTACCTAGTGTGGCATCTGTTGCAAGGCAGGCTGATCATCTCCCAGCAATCAGATTACATCATGGGACCTCTTGTGTCAGGACTTCGAGTAGCAGGGCAGCACTTGAACTAATCAATTTCAAAAACAATTCAGAAGTGCTAGTTTTGTACTGTATGTGTACTGTATATGTTAACACTTAAGTACATGGCAAAAGTTTTGCTTTGCTGGAGTAGGCAATGATTAGGGGTAATAGCTGCTGCCAGGCTAGTGGGAGATTAGATGAACGCAGGTTGAATAGTGTTGAATCAGCCACACATTCTCAGGAACACACGGACAGCTCCATTTCAGCACTTCATATATTTCAGTTTTGACCTTCCTACTATGGTTTTTTATGTTCGTTATTCAAAATGTATTTTACGTCTTTCCTGTGGGACTCCTCATTTGCATTGTGAGTTAAAACAATCTAGCCTTGTTGTCCGCATGCTACTATTTCTGACCTCGCTGTTTTGCACCACTGACTCTTAAACGTTGAGGTGTTATCGATAATATCAAATTTGCTTAAAATATTAAACCTCTGTCAGTTTTTACCCCCTTACATTTATATACTGTGTAACAGTTATATTAAAGCGATGTATTTTGTGGAATGCTGTTTATGGATCTACAAGCGAAGGGTAAGCGTGGAATAACATTCCGATAATGTGTATCTTCCCCCAGATGTTCCATGCTTATCCCCGGATGTCATATCCGCCTGTGCAAGGGGCTTACAGATACCCAGTCCAACAGCAAGATGGAGCAAAGTAAGTCCTCTCTGTGCTTCACAGATCACTGCAGTTGCTCTTACACCCTCAGGGGATTAAAGGTGCATCACCCTCTCGATTGTTTTGATCCTCCATTTGACGGGTTTCCAGTCATAAAGTTCACCATTGGCTTCTGGATCCTGATGCTCAGTGTTTCCTTGTTGCTTGTTTCTATGCCCTGGGGGAATTCACTTGTAACACTCCTCCCTGTCCTTTAAAATAATGGAATGAAGTGTGTCTTTGCTCATTCAGGTGTCTTGGATGACTTCACAAGGCTTGATCTGGCATCTTTAAATCTTGATGCTATGGGTCAGATTCTTTTTTTTTTCTAATTTGTGTTCAATCATTTCTTGGTTCAGATTCTCAGCGTCTTTAAAGGTTCCTAGGACCTAGTACCTTTAACTTCAAGGCTTACGTTTGAATGTGAAATGCGATTCGATTGAAAGGGGAACAGGAATTGGAGTAGAAGACATGGGTCTTAATCACAACTCTGTTTGTGTCCATTGGTATCTGTGGATCTAATACTCCTTCCTCCTGCGTTGCCAGGGGCCCCAGACCAGCTAACCGCCCACCTCAGTCACACAGCCAGGCATGGTCCCAGGATGCCGACCGGCCCTCCATCATCAGTGCCACAGACCTGAAGGAGCTGGACAACCTGGACACTGATGCCGATGAAGGCTGGGCAGGTGAGAGTCTGGGGACAGGGGATGCAGGTCAGCAGACAGGGTGGAGCTGTGTGGACTTGGTGCTACAACATGGAGAGAAGAGGCGGGGATCTTGCTTGTCCTACAAAACCAGGGGTTGTTGCCAACTTTATTTCCATCCCTGTTACTGAAATGAGGTTAGAAAATGTCTTGAAAAGGTGATGGTAAACTGTGACGGAAGGCAACAGGATTGATTTGACACAGCTAGTCTTTCCATTCAATAAAATATTGACGTCATCATTTTCTCTTCTTCAGATCCACATTACGAAGATAATTGTTTCACAGAGGTTTCATTTGCTACATTGTGATCATACTAGGGCATTATAGAATAGGTCTCAAACTTAAAGCTTGGAGATATCAAAGGTTTGATCAGGGCTCAGGTCAGTCACAACTGGAGCAGAGAGGCGAGTGTGATTTGAGGATAGAGAATGTAGAGAAGTCAATGTGGAAGGGATAAAAGCCAGGGGGAAATATGAAAGCATCTCCTAACGTATAGAAAATGTGATCCACAGTGGCTGTTGAAGTATAGAGAAGGCATGCTAATAATTTAAAAATAAGTATTAAAGATAAGCACTGGAGCTTTGTTGTAATGGTAAATTTGTTCTGTCTGTCTGCTGGATGGTCAGGAGCCCAGATGGAGGTGGACTACACAGAAAAGCTCAACTTCAGTGATGATGAGGAGAACCAGTCTGGGAAGGACAAAGGAGATAACTGGTGAGTGGTCTGGAGTTTTTCAGACTGT